TGTATGCACCAGCATGTAACCCACCACTGTTGTACGCACCAGCGTGTAACCCACCACCGTTGTACGCACCAGCATGTAACCCACCACTGTTGTATGCACCAGCATGTAACCCACCACCGTTGTACGCACCAGCATGTAACCCACCACCGTTGTACGCACCAGCATGTAACCCACCACCGTTGTATGCACCAGCATGTAACCCACCACTGTTGTACGCACCAGCATGTAACCCACTACCGTTGTACGCACCAGCATGTAACCCACCACTGTTGTATGCACCAGCGTGTAACCCACCACTGTTGTACGCACCAGCATGTAACCCACCACCGTTGTATGCACCAGCATGTAACCCACCACTGTTGTACGCACCAGCATGTAACCCACTACCGTTGTACGCACCAGCATGTAACCCACCACTGTTGTATGCACCAGCATGTAACCCACCACTGTTGTACGCACCAGCATGTAACCCACCACCGTTGTACGCACCAGCATGTAACCAGCATGTAACCCACCACTGTTGTATGCACCAGCATGTAACCCACCACCGTTGTACGCACCAGCATGTAACCCACCACCGTTGTACGCACCAGCGTGTAACCCACCACCGTTGTACGCACCAGCATGTAACCCACCACTGTTGTATGCACCAGCATGTAACCCACCACCGTTGTACGCACCAGCATGTAACCCACCACCGTTGTACGCACCAGCGTGTAACCCACCACTGTTGTACCACCAGCATGTAACCCACCACCGTTGTACGCACCAGCATGTAACCCACCACCGTTGTACGCACCAGCATGTAACCCACCATTGTTGTATGCACCAGCATGTAACCCACCACCGTTGTACGCACCAGCATGTAACCCACCACCGTTGTACGCACCAGCATGTAACCCACCACTGTTGTATGCACCAGCATGTAACCCACCACCGTTGTACGCACCAGCATGTAACCCACCACCGTTGTACGCACCAGCATGTAACCTCACTACTGTTGTACGCACCAGCATGTAACCCACCACCGTTGTACGCACCAGCATGTAACCCACCACCGTTGTACGCACCAGCATGTAACCTCACCACTGTTGTACGCACCAGCATGTAACCCACCACCGTTGTACGCACCAGCATGTAACCTCACTACTGTTGTACGCACCAGCATGCGGCACATGATCCCGATCTCACAAACATGTCGACGGAAACGGTCCAAGTAATTACAGAAAGGTATAACTTGCTTCTAGTCCTGGAGAGAATTTGCTAGAGCGGACACTATGTAATTGCGAGAGGAATTACCAGAGTCTGTGAGAGACTCACATCCCTGGGGGAATATGTCTCGGCCTTCGTGATCCCAAACTCGGAATTGCATTTTCACTAGAGTGTTCCTAAATCAGAACTGGTTGCGGTTTCAATTAAATATATATATCAGGGGAGGAGGAGGAGGGAGAAACAGGGCGTCGCATCCGATTTCCGGATAACTGTGAGGACCTGCCGGTTCGAGCCCCGGGCGTGGAGAGCGTGATGTGGGGTTAATATACAGAGAGGATCTCCTGGTGGTCGACGGACCACCAACTATGGAAATTTGATGCCACCTGATGGCAAGCTGCAACGTTCTTAATATTTATGTATTTTCAAAATTTGGCCGGACTTGTTTAGGATGCGGTCGGTCGGTCACGGTCATCGCCAGGATTTCTCCATAACAATGTAAATGTATCTGCAATATTTTTTTTAAGGTAGCAATAAGTTAATTTTTTTTCTGGATACCTGTACTCTATTCAAGTTAAGTATCTAGAATATTATTTATATAAACTTTTACTCTCATTATTTTTCACACACACACACACAGATATTAGAAAGAACTTTTTTAGTGTCAGAGTGGTTGACAAATGGAATGCATTAGGAAGTGATGTGGTGGAGGCTGACTCCATACACAGTTTCAAGTGTAGATATGATAGAACCCAATTGGCTCAGGAACCTGTACACCAGTTGATTGACAGTTGAGAGGCGGGACCAAAGAGCCAGAGCTCAACCCCCGCAAGCACAATTAGGTGAGTACACACACACACACACACACACACACACACACACACACACACACACACACACACACACACACACACACACACGCACACGCACACACACACACAGGATTGATAGGGTAGATAAAGACAGTCTATTTAACACAAGGGGCACACGCACTAGGGGTCACAGGTGGAAACTGAGTGCCCAAATGAGCCACAGAGATATTAGAAAGAACTTTTTTAGTGTCAGAGTGGTTGACAAATGGAATGCATTAGGGGGTGATGTGGTGGAGGCTCACTCCATACACAGTTTCAAGTGTAGATATGACAGAGCCCGATAGGCTCAGGAATCTGTACACCTGTTGATTGACGGTTGAGAGGCGGGACCAAAGAGCCAGAGCTCAACCCCCGCAAACACAACTAGGTGAGTACAACTAGGTGAGTACACACACACACACACGCACACACACACACACACACACACACACGCACACACACACACACACACACACACACACACGCACACACACACACACGCACACACACACACACACACACACACACACACACACACACACACACACACACACACACACACACACACACACACACACACACACACACACACACACACACGCACATACACACACACGCACATACACACACACACACACACACACACACACACACACACACACACACACACACACACACACGCACACACACACACACACACACACACGCACACACACACACACACACACACACACACACACACGCACACACACACACTATAAATCATTTCGGACATCGTATACCACATACGCCAGACCAATTTTGGAATATGCAGTATCAGCATAGCGTTCTTACCTCCGAGTACAAAACAACAAGAACTAAAGAGTCTCTCTGTAGTACAGTCGGGTTCGTTGTCAACTCACACACTGTAATTCCGGGTTCGAATCCCTGCCGGGACAGAAATACTTGGGACGTTTCCTATCACCTAATGCACCTTATCACCTAGCAGTAAATTGGTACCCAGGAGTTAGACAACTGTTGTGGTGTTACTGCCCAGGGCAGGGGGGGGGGTCCACGATATAAGCCTAATATGTATATAATTACTGGCTGCCTGTCCCCCGACACAATGAATTATTATTATTATAAAACTTAACCTTGGGAAAACCTAAGTTGTACGACCAGACTTGTTCCAGACCCGAGAGCTATGAGCTACAAGGAGTAACTAAAAAGATAAAAAATCACATGTTACGAAGAGAGGTAAATACATGATCACCACAAACAAAATGTACCAGGGACTTGGCAGAAAGTACAAGGACAGACTAAGACTGGAACATACGTACAAGGGGGACCCGGCCATGTGTACACAGTGTTCGAATGAGCTACAAAGAACTTCAATTTCAGAGTATTGAAGCCATTTTGGGAATTTGTAGTACAGAAGGTAGATTAAATAGACAATTAAATGCAGATTTGATAAAACCCAGTAGGGTTCAGGAACCCGTTTATTAGTTGACTGAAAGTTGATAAGCGGGCCCCAAGAGCTAAAGCTTGACCTGTGCAAAAATACCTATACGTATGGGGGAATTTCCCAGCAGGATTTACTTGCTCATTTATTTAATTATCAAATTATTAGATTTAAAAGTTTACGTTGTTTTATAATTAATTTAAAGTGGACTGTATGTTCTGTGATCATCCTGCCAGGTGTTTCCTGCTCACATATATTTCGAGGGTATATGTACGAAGCCTATTAATCAAATAATTGATAAACATAATAGGTTACAATGTTAGTAAGCAGCTAAAATGGATTAGTTTAATGGATTACTATACACAGCTTATCTGTTATGTAGCATATTGCCTAGCAATAGGCACTGGAACATTCCTCAGCCACATGCGAAACTCGTTGGTTTAAGCCCTAATGGTGACTGAGAATGATTCCTGTTGTACTAAGACGACCCGTTGTCATTTCTTCTTCCCATGGACTGCACCTGCCAAGTAACTTCAAAGCAGTGAACTGCTATTACAATAGACAGCATATATCAGGGGAGGTTCTATATAATTAATACACAGCTTACCCGTTCCGGGTGTTGTTCAGGCATCATAACTGGCAAAATTTGTATATATGATCAATGGCAATCCACATACATATAATACAATAAAATTTTACCGGTTACAATACTTCCCAAGATTAGCGAGATCTTCGGTTGATCAGAGACTCAGTGGATCCTTTGTCGAAGCTCGTGGAGAGTATTTGAGAGCGGCAACTGTCGACTAGAGAGGCAGGCAAGTCTCGGTGTTGTCGTGTGTATGACCACGGGCACAGCACTGGCGCGGCGCCCCCTTCCCGACAGGCTCCAGGGGCCAGATTCACGAAAGCACTTACGCAAGCACTTACGAACGTGTACATCTTTCCTCAATCTTTGACGGCTTTGGTTACATTTATTAAACAGATTACAAGCATGAAAACTTCCCAATCAACTGTTGTTATTGTTATAAGCAGTCTCCTGGTGCTTCGGAGCTCATTAACTGTTTAATAATTGGAAACAAAGCCGCCAAGATTGAGAAAAGATGTATAGGTTCGTAAGTGATTGCGTAAGTGCTTTCGTGAATCTGGCCCCTGGACCCCTTCAGGAACGCGGTTCTGAATTCTTGACTGAGACGTTGGGTTTGGTTGTATTTTAACTAAATTAAGTCCTGGTGAATACTTTTTTGATCATATATAGTTTCCAGGCTGGTGTTTTAAGGATACGTGCTCTGTAAATAAATATTTTGGTGACGTAGGGAACCTCCTATTGTCTCCGAGAAGCCACTGAAACCCATTTTCTTCTAATGAAGTTAGTGGTTAGTAATATTTGTTTGTTCCTAACATAACCGTTTTGACTTGATATGTTAGGTGTTAGTAATTTAGTGTCGAACTTTCGGACAATGCGAATGAATAAAAAAATAACCTGCATCTGTTTTATTTAGATACCGTGTTCGATTCCTCCGCTGTCCGACTACGGCTTTATGTTCGCTGACGGCGTGGTGGAGAGGACTGAGGATGGATTCCGGACAGTGTTGAGGAAGATGGGCGCCTCCTTGTATGGCGGGGAGATGAACAACATCACCTTCCAGGCCTTCCTCTACAGCGACCACACTCTCAGAGTTAAGGTGGGGGTGTGTGCTGACCTAAGTGTAGTTACAGGAAGAGAGCTACGCTCGTGGTGTCCCGTCGTCCCTATAATCTCTCTTATATGACGCTTTAAACTACTGAGGGTTTTGGCCTCCATCGCCATCTCACTAAAATTGTTCCGACAGTCTACAGGTCTCTTGATAAACGAAAAATATTGGCATATTTGGTCGGTGTCTTTATTACCTTAACTGGAATATTTGGGCTCTTTAAGTTGCAGGTTTTATTCTGTCTTGTTAACTGGATCGTTTTCTGTCTCTATTTTGTACGGAGTGATCATGTCTACTCTTTTCCTTCCATCTTCCAGTTTCTTTAAATTTAACGGCATTTATATATATATATATATATATATATATATATATATATATATATATATATATATATGAAGGTACATTGGGATTGTGAGGATACATAGCATAGTAATTACATTCTTGTAAAGCTACTAGTACGTGCAGCGTTTCGGACAGACAGTGTACATGTAGATGTTACATTTGATAACTCAACATGTAACTCAACTCAACATATCATAACTATGTTATGATAACATAACTCTACAGAAATGTAGAGTTACATTTAGAGTGTATGCTTTTGCACTCTTTTAAGTGTGCTTGTATTGATGTGCTTCTGGATATATGGACATCATACAACTGCTGCATATTCCAATTTCGGTCTCATGTACGCCATAAACAGTTCCTTTAGTATTTCTCCATCCATGTATTTAAACGTGCCTCTGAAATTTAGTAACATAGCATAATCTTCTTTCACGATGCCCTTTCAGTGATCCTCTGGTGACACTTTACCATCCAGAACCATCTGTAGATCTTTGTCAGTTCGATAGTATCATTTTTCACATTATTTATAGCTCAAGTTCTTTTCCGTTTTCACATTCAGTTACCTGGCATTTATTTACATTAAATTATATCTGCCATGTGTTACTCCATTTACTTTATGTGTTCAAGTTATTTTGAAGGGCAAGACAATCATTTAAGTCTTGTACTCACCCTTTGTAACTTTGCATCGCTATGAAACATACACATGTAGCTCTGTATCCCCTCTGATAGATCGTTGATAGACAGTGAACAGTACTTGTGCAAGGGCACTATTTTGTGGTACTCTTACAGTGACATTTCTTCAGTCTGATGTATCGTCTCTGATCACTGCTCGCATTGGTGCGTCCGCTATCATTTTTTGTGATCCAATTCAGTAGTCTGCCTTTGTGTTCTAGATTCCAGAACTGTCTTTTGTGTGGGACGCTTTCAAAGGCCTTTGTTTTGTCAGTCCAGATAGAGGCAGTCAACCCCCATCCTCTCTTTCTGGCAAGATCTCTGTGGCTCTCATAAAAGCTCAGAAGATTAGCTAAACAAGACCTTCCACATCGTTATCTTTACTGTCTGTTCGTTGTTATGCAGCTTCTATCCAGGTAATATACCCTAATCTCGTCATATTTTCCTCTTCGGTAATTTAGCCTTTTCTTTCGGATCCCATCCTTGGATAGATTATCCTTACCTCCACCAGATACTCAAATGTCAATACACTGTGGTCACTTATTCCTATAGGGGCTTCAAATTCGACTTCCCGTATGCTTGATCCATTCAAGGTGAATATCAGGTCGAGTCTTGCTGGTTTGCCATTGCCTCTCTTTTTTGTGGATCCCTTTTTCATGTTGGCTCAGAAAGTTTCTTGTTGCCACTTCCAGGAGTTTAGCTCTCCATGTATCTGCACCTCCATGTGGTTCCCCGTTCTCCCAGTCTATCTTTCCGTGATTGAAGTCGCCTATGATTAAGAGTCTGGAGCCACTCTTGCAGGCAACTGAAGCTGTTTTCTCTATCATATTATTGGTTGCCATGTTATTTCTATCAAACACCTGTCTGGGTTTTTTATCATTTAATGGGAGTTATAAATGACTGCTACCATTATCTTAGGTCCGCCTATAGTCAAAGTTCCTGTTAAGTAGTCTCTGAATCCTTCACAGCCCAGAATTTACATCAACTCAAAACGTCAGTACTTATCAGCAGGGCCACCACTCCTCTTCTCCCTTCCCTCTCTTTCCTTACTATATAGTAGTCCAATGGAAACTGCATTTGTCAAGATGCCTAATAATTTCCTTTCTGAGAGTGAATTACAGCTGGGTTCTCTTTTTGTGTTTTTTCGTCTATTTCACTTGCTTAAATTTGTAATCCCATCAATGTTTGAGTATATTACCTTGAAGCTCACTTTCCATTCTCCATTATCACACACACACTCACCACTGGTGTAGGAAGGATACCATTTAACACGGGTGGATCACGAACAAGAGGACACTGATGGAAACTGAGTACCCAAATGAGCCACAAAAACATTAAAAAGAATTTTTTTAGTGTCAGAGTAGTTAACAAATGGAATGCATTAGGCAGTGATGTGGCGGAGGCTGACTCCATACACAGTTTCAAATGTAGATATGATAAAGCCCAGTAGACTCGGGAATCTGTACACCAGTTGACTGGCGGTTGAGAGGCGAGACCAAAGAGCTAAACCTCAACCCCCGCAAGCACACCTAGGTGAGTACAACGATGTGAGTACAACTAGGTGAGTACCTTTTTCCAAATGTCGTTGGTAGATTATTGCGTATTCTGATGTTACTCGGCTAATGAGTGTGTCTGGCGTCAGATCTGTGGTCATATGTCTCATCTCTAGTCCTATGCAGCAATATGTAGCATTACATAGTATAAGCACATAATGGTATTTTCCAAGCTACATGACATTAAGCTACTGCTATTCACTACACTTCCAGTATATATCCACAAATACATGGCAAAAACATATGGTACAAAAATATAAATATACATAGATATATTTGACATTCCTTGGCAATACACAATTTGTACTAATATATTGTTGAAAGAAGATTAGAAAGAAAATATAGTATTCGTGATACTAGACTAATCAACCAAGATATCACTATACAGTTTGAACACATCATACACCAGCCACAGTATGATCATACTAGTGTATGTGTGGTCATAACAGTGTGTGTGTGTGTGTGTGTATTCACCTAGTTGTGCTTGCTGGGGTTGAGCTCTGCTCTTTCGGCCCGCCTCTCAACTCTCAATCAATCAATTGTTACTAACTACTAATTATTTTTTTCACACACACACACACACACCCAGGAAGCAGCCCGTAAGAGCTGTCTAACTCTGTCGGAAAATCCGACACCATTTAATAATCATACAGATAATAGCTGTATTGTATAAACAAGTTACCCATATAAAACGTAACTTGTAGTGGAATTACCGTCTAAAGAAAACGGGATATCATCACCACATAATATTATATTCTCCACCTATTATGGTGGGAATTATTCTTAAATACATTAGTCTTTGGACTTTACCATCATAAAAACATCTTATATAAATTAACTTAATTATCAATATTAAAGTAGAGTAAATGTGACCCTTCTATCACTTTCTGAAATCTGGACAATGTAAGCTAGGCGTCAGAGTGAGGGAGGAGGGAGCCATTGTTGTGTCACCTCCGAGACGTGTGGAGCAAATTTGGCTCCTATCATATCTGGACAATGTCGGCCAGGCGTCAATAGTATGGAGTGTTAGATGCAGCCATTGTTTATACTAGACCAGAGGCTCACAGGAGCAAATGCGGCTCCTGTTAATTTTACTTGGACGTAGTGTTATGGAAACCAAGGGTGTACCATTTTCAACACGCTGTCAACAAATCAAGTTAAGTGTTCTTTCCGAAACCCGTTTATTTTCATTTATGGCCATTAATGTCATTATATAGGGTGATCCGGTTAGAGCACGTGGGAGCCTCAAACTAAAGGTAATTAAGCCAGGTCTTTAATGTTCCATGTACAGTTTTCTCTGAAATACTTGTCATATATAGGATTCTGGCTTCACAGCTAGCGCACTTTTGACAGGTCAAGACGAGGAAGCAAGATTTTGTGCACCAGTTACTGGGTGATGGAAGCTACCTCAAAGAGGATAATTTGGTGTCTACACCCTAGTTATACCTGGTGGACTAACCTGCTGTACTATAAGATAAGGAACCTCTTCAATGAACTCCCAGGTACCTATTTACTGCTAGGTAACAGGAGCATCAGGGTGAAAGAAACTGCCCATTTTTGTTTCTCGCCGGCGGCGGGAATCGAACCCGGCCCACAGGCTTTCGTGTAAAGCGTGCTATCCACACAGCCGCCCCCCCCCCAGTCTGCAGTGTGTGTGTGTAATTACCTAAGTGTAGTTACAGGATGAGAGCTACGCTCGTGGTGTCCCGTCTTCCCAGCACTCTTTGTCATATAACGCTTTGAAACTACTGACGGTCTTGGCCTCCACCACCTTCTCACCTAACTTGTTCCAACCGTCTACCACTCTGTTTGCGAAAGTGAATTTTCTTATATTTCTTCGGCATCTGTGTTTAGCTAGTTAATATCTATAACCTCTTGTTCTTAAAGTTCCAGGTCTCAGGAAATCTTCCCTATCGATTTTATCAATTCCTGTTACTATTTTGTATGCAGTGATCATATCACCTCTTTTTTTCTGTCTTCCAGTTTTGGCATATTTAATGCCTCTAACCTCTCCTCGTAGCTCTTGCCCTTCAGTTCTGGGAGCCACTTAGTAGCATGTCTTTGCACCTTTTCCAGTTTGTTGATGTGCTTCTTAAGATTTGGGCACCACACAACCGCTGCATATTCTAGCTTTGGCCTAACAAAAGTCGTGAACAATTTCTTTAGTATATCGCCATCCATGTATTTAAAAGCAATTCTGAAGTTAGAAAGCGTGGCATAGGCTCCTCGCACAATATTCTTTATGTGGTTCTCAGGTGATAGTTTTCTATCTACAAAACTTTATCTTTTTTATCTTTTATCTATCTTTTTTCTATCTATGTTCTCCTATTCCACATTCCATAACATGGCATTTATTAACATTAAATTCCATTTGCCAAGTGGTGCTCCATATACTTATTTTGTCCAGGTCATCTTGAAGGGCAT